CGCGCATGCATTCACTTGTTTGGGTGCATGCTTACATCAGTTTCCATATTTACGGTATATAGGCAGCAAATGTCTCACGGTATTGCTTTTACTAATTTTGTAACAATCATGTGCGCTCTTACGCGCGCAGGCATTCACTCGTTTGGTCGCTTGCTTGCATCAACTTCTATAATTAAGGGCGTAGTATAGAATCAATAAACGTTTTTCGGCGTTGTTGAAGATAATATTGTTACCATCATGCGCGCGTGCGCTCGCGCAAGTGCCTGCGTGCGCGCGATGCGCGCGCATATAGTCCCTGCGCGCTCTTACGCGCGCATGCATTCACGTGTTTGGGGGCTTGCTTACATCAGCTTCTAAAATGACGGTATGCAGTATATGTGTGACGGTATTATTTTGAATAATTGTGTCACAATCATGCGCGCGCACGCGCGCACTAATGCCTGCACGCGGGTTTGAATGGACGCCGTGTCTGAACGCATACACATATGTATATATGTGCGTATGTGCGCATGTATCGTGGCCGTAACTATGAAACTGTATTTCATTCAATGACGCCGCGTCTGAATGCATACATGCACACACAGACACACATATATACAGACTTATACATATGTATACATATGTATATGTATGTATATACCTGTATATACTGTCATGTTCTTGTATTGGCCCTACATTTTCACACCCCAAAGGATGTAGCATGGTCATGTTTGTAAGTGAAGAAGCCCCGTGACCAAGAACACCCAAGCGAAACAACTCTGTTGACCAACAGCAACCAAACAAGAATCATTAAACAACACAAATGTCTTTTTGTGAGGCCGCCAACTGAAATCAAATACGATTGAACAATATCTTATCTAATAGAGGTTGTCTTTTTTAAAATTCATCACGCTCTGTGCGCACCCTGCGTTTCTCGGCTCTCCACCACACGAGACGTCCAGGATCAGCACCTGCGCCCGAAGGACAGCAAAGATGTAAAGTTGTGAGTGGCTTTGCAATTTCCAGGAGCATGGTCTGACCGGGGTATTCTGAGTGGAAAACAAGATTCGGAAACCTGATGAGAGAATGACGTTGGAAAACAAGTTCTTCGCATCAGGACATGAATCGATTGAAGGCACGCCTGATGAAGATTGGGTCTAGTGACTTAGTGAGCAAATATTCGTCTCCGGCCTGAACAGTGAGAGAAGTGGCCGATAGGTCCTCTACAGCAGCTCATTTTTTTTGAGAGAGGTGGGGGAACTAGCTCACAATCAAGTGACCGAAGAGATAGGCACTTGCTACCAAACAATTCAGGAACAGGCATCTTCTCCCTGGGATACCATGAAGAACATAAACCCACAAACAACATTGGTTCTCCGAGACTGCATTGCTAAGCCAGTGAAATGGCAGAGGTCGTACGTCTGCCACAAAAACAGGCCAACAGTCGAACCCTATCTACTTACTAACGTCGTCAATGGTACCATCTGAACCATTCGCTCATCACATGTGTGGCAAGGTTGCGCATGCTAGTGGGGCTAGATCCATCCAAAGAATCTATAGACAACTTCGCTTCTCAAAGCCAAATACCCGACGCACACTTTTCTTGCAAGCAAAATGCCTTGTGATGGGCACTTGGCAAGACAACGGACTCAGGCCGGCCAGAGACAGCTCAACTTCAACACCAGTGTCAAGATCACACACTGATATTATGCTTGGACCATGCTACAACCAAGGCTCGGGGCTGTGCTCTGGCTTCCTGAGGGCCTCTCAGACTGAACACAAAACGACTCTTTCGAAAGTCTTCAAGTCTTGAGCGGGAGCTATTCCAAGATTGGAAGGTCTTGGGTGGCAATATCCCGATTGTTGTGGGCATTCCGAATGCATTGCTTCTTCTCAGTCCACGCTTTCCATCCACTCGGTCCAGAGCGCTTCTTCGGTGTCTCGGCATGATCTCGAACTGCTTGACAAATCTTCTTTGCCAAACCTTCTCGTTTGATGCCAGCGCTCTCAAGCTCTTTGTTTATTGTATCTTCCATCTGCCCCACCGTCAATCTTGGCATGGCTGTGTGGTATCACAACGGTGTCGTGACTGGTATAATCTCAGCCAAGCTGCTGGGCCGAAAACGGATGCAAGTTTATGGATTCCTTTTGAATGAACATATAGGTACAATCGCAATGGCGCCGGGATCCTATGTGAAGTGAAACCCATACATTTAGATGTGTTCAACCCTGCCGGTCATCCTTGTAAGAAATGACTCAAAAAGTAGCAGAATACCAGGTTGTGGGCCGCAAAGCACGTGGGCCGCTTTTGTGGTACGGCCAAGACCTCCAGGTTCCTGGTGACACCACATCAGGCAACTCCCCCAACCCGGTAGAAACATCCGCCTTGAGGCCGCCCGGAAGGACTTCCAAGCATCCAGCACCAACCTGGCCACGCGCAGAAACCAATCACGTGCAAACGCGCAGCCGCTGTCGCTTCAGAAACCTTTCTTAAGCCAAGCTTTAGTGACTGGCCCGAGCCAACTCTTGCTTCCAAACGCTGGGAGCCGGGCCAACTCTTCATGTGGGGAGTTTGGCTTTGTGAATCAAAGGAGTCTACATAACATTGACTGACTTGTGCCTAGTAGGGAATAAGGGGATGATCCCTCCACTATAGATACCTTAGGATCCAGCATGATCCAGCCACCCTCCATGCACGCGTCGCACCAGTCGGTTGACACCAGTCACCACCGAAACGGAAACACCACCCGATCCGATCGGCCTCCAAAAATAGGCACTATATTTTCCATCTTACCGGCCGCGATCAATGCCAGTCTTGGCAAGAGGCTCTCAAAAAAGTACGGCTCTCTTGGCAGAAGAAGCCCTCGAAAACATTCCGAAAGGCAGCTATCACAAGTAACCCTGGTAGAAGTCCATGACGGCGTGAACCGCCGCTCCGAAGCTGCCGCATGGCTTCACTGACTCTGCCCGCTGGGCTCCTTGCAACCACGGAAGTGCACAGACTGGTGCCAAAAACAGCCGTTGATAGAAAACGGGCCATGTTTGAAAGCCGAGTCCATCAGTAACATATGCACACGCAGATCAAACTGAATGAGACAATCACATGCACCAAAACTCTCCGATCACAAAAGCCATTCCCGAAGCAATGCCCCAAACACACGTGGAAACAACTTTTCAAACTATGTCCGGGGCATCCGTATTTTCTTGGGCATCCAACCCACACAACTGCTCCACAAAGCAAGGGCATCAAATTGACAGGAAGACTCACTACTAACAAACCAAAACCAAACTCGCCCTCTCCTTCACATCGCTTCCCACTTTCTGGCTCTTAATGGGGGTATCCTCGCAGCGCCGGCGGAAAGCTTCATGTATTTATCATATGTGTTATATATATATATGTATATATATATATATATCCATGGCTACACCTGGCCACCTGACTACACATAAGCATTTGTCTCTCTGTACATAGGTAGATAGGTAGGTAGGTAGATAGGTAGATAGATACGTACATAGATACATAGATACATAGATAGATAGAGAGGTAGGAAGAAAGATAGCTAGATAAGCCGATAGATAGAGAGACGCGACAAGAAAATAGGATACGGTAAGACAAGGCAGTTAGAAATATATTTGCATATATATATACATACGTACGAATAGCTAGATACATAGATAAATATACGGATACAGCGGCAGTTGGAGCAGAGTTATGGATTTAGGTCTAGATGGAGAATTAGATGATGTGGACATATGCATAGTAGTTGACTTGTATTTGCATATGATATAGCATTTCTATCTATCTATCTATCTATCTACTCGGTTGATACATCTATCGATCTGTCTGTCTGTCTTTCATGGTCTCTGCCCCTTTGTCTCTTCTCCGTCTTTCCATCTAGCATGCGACAATTGATCTAAAGTAATCTTCGCTGACAACCCAATGCCCCAAAGCCATGGTGCACGCACTGTTAAAAACATGTTTGGGGCATTCGTCATGTAGACCTGCCAAAACATCCCAAAAGCCCCTCCTTCGACGAAGGTCCACCTTGGCTTTCACGCTTTTGGCCACGTGAGGGATCTGACTTGTCCACGCTCGACAACTCCTCCTCGCACGCGGCAAGCTCTGCCTTCAAACCAGCTATCTGCTCTGCAAGCGCGGCGCGGCGCTTGTCGATGTAGACCTGCTGAAACTGCATCTGCACACTCTCTGGCTTGCCCTGCTGAATCAAAGCCAATGTGCAAGTGATCACACTGCACTTTGGCGTGAGCCGTGGTCCCACCCAGAATTCCTTGCATACATGCTGCACAAAACCATGGTTTGGATTGTGCTGGATCCATCGATACAGCTCGAAAGGGGCCGAAATCAATCCCATAGAGTATAGATTATGTCATGTCCACATGAAATGTCTGACTGAAATCATGAACTGAGTGGCCGCCAAAGGGCTGACGTCTGTTGAGCAAAACAAGAAGCCTTGCGGAAGATCATTGGCAGCAACGCGCTCGATCTTGATGT